CTGGTGTACTTTAATCCCAGCACTCAGGAGGCAGAGGCAGAGGCAGAGGCAGACTGATCTGTGAGTTCAAGGCCAGCCTGGTCTACAGAGTGGGCTCCAGGGCAGCCATGGCTGTTACACAGAGAAAACCTGTCTCAAAAAAGCAACATTTCTGGCAGTATCTTTGCTGTGTAAATCTCCCAACCTGCCCAAGTGGCCAGACTTGCCATAAGTGAGGCAGTGGAGAGAATGCTGTGGGAAAGAATAGGATTTGGCCCTAGAAGGCTTGAGTCCACATCTGGGCTCTGGCTCTTTTTAACTGAGTAACCAAGAGCGCATAATTTGGGCTGCTACCTTTCTTCCTCTTCTTCAACTTTATGGGGTCCACACAGGGGCAAGGTGAAAGCATGTTAAACACAACTGCGCCTTCCACAGACTGAGAATGGGCAAAGGGGTGGGTGCAGGCTATATTTTATGACTTTGGTCTTTCCAGAAGCTGAGTACCATTTCTTTCAGATGATATTTGAATATCCTTGATATGGAGGACTGTTGTATTCAATTTTACCAAAAAGGGTATTTATTTAAAACACCACCATGGGACTGGTGAGGTGACTCAGCATGTAAAGCACTTGCTGCCAAACCTGAGTTTGATCCTTGGAACATACAAGTGGAGGGAGAGAACTGATTCCCATATGCTGTCCTCTGACTGCCCCAAGTTTACTGTGGCTGGTATACACACAGACATACACACAAACACACAGACACACACACAGACACACAGACACACAGACACACAGACACACACACACAGACACACAGACACACACAGACACACACACAGACACACAGACACACAGACACACACACACAGACACACAGACACACAGACACACACACACAGACACACAGACACACAGACACACACACACACACAGACACACACACACACACAGACACACACACAAAATCCCACTATAAGCTGGGCGTAGGTGGTGCATGCCCTTAATCCCAGCACTTGGGATGTAGAGGCTGGTGGATCTCCATGAGTTCGAAGCCAGCCTGGACTACAAAGCGAGTTCCAGGACAGCCAAGGCAACAGTGAAATCCTGTCTTGAACAACAACTACAACAACAAAACAAAACAAAAAAACCCCACAAAAACAAAAACCACACTATTAATACATAAGGTCTCCTCTTTTTCTCCTTCTGTTTCCTACTTTCCTCTTTCCTGTTGCTCCTGTTCCCAGAGGCTGGTCTCCCCCTCCCCTTCCCCCTTTTTACTATCCTTTCCCCCTAATTAAAAAACCATCTGCTTGAAAAAAAGTAGCCCCCACAACCCCCCAAAACCCAGAAGGTCTTGATTCTATACAAAGAACTACAGATAACTAAAACATGCTGAGAGTGGAGGAAATACTCTTTCCCTAGGGAAGAAAACACTAATTGTTTTCTAATTGTTGTTCATTAGCAAGTGATTAGCCCTGAAAACATAAAATGCAGGCAATATTATGCATTATATAGACTGAGCAGGTTGTATTAATCTATTTAAGACTATACATACATATACATATATGTATGCAATAACAATGAAAAAAAGAGGCCATGAATTTGAAAGGTAGCAAGGAGGGGTATACTGGAGGCTCTGAAGGGAGAAAATTATGTAACTATATTATAATTTCAAAAAAAAGACTGCAAAGACCATTGTGTCTGGTAAGACTCATCTTCTCTAACCAACAGGGTAATCTGGTGGTATTTCAGTGATGCCAGCTTCATTCAACAGAGACAAATAACAATTTTGCTGTCAACTGAAGGTAAGACATATGGGAATAGGACCCTGGAAAGCCAAATTGTTACCACAATGGGGATCACTGGAGGGAAATAAACAGATGCCACTAAGTGTTAATTGCAAACAAAGATAAATTTATTTGCCTGTCTGAAAAGAAAGGACACAAAGCTCAAGCAAAACATTCTACACATTGTAACTGAATGGACCAGTTACAGAGCAAAGGGAGGAAGGACAGGAAAACTGGCAGCATGCTGAGCTCAGGTCTGCTTGGCTCTGAAGGCTGAGCCAGTTCACTTCTTCCAAGTGCAGGCTCCACTCCTAGCGATGTCCAGGATGCTCCAGTCAGCTCACTGTCCCTCTGGTGGCCAATGGGACCAGCTTGCTTGAAGGAGGCTGAATCTTTGGTAAAGAGCACCAGCAGGACCTCAGGTTCATGCCAGTGATGATCACGATTACTGTCCCTTCCCTGATCTTTTTCAGAACCGACAGACCGAGTGTCCACTTCTTAGGGCAAAAGGCAAATAAACATACATGTGCACTTAAAAGGCAAATTTCATGTAGGCAGTTTATCTTTAAAAGTTACCAAAAAACAACATTAATAAAATAACGCCTGTACGTGAATGACGGCAGCACCATGACCCACAATAGCCAAAAGGTGGAAACAGCCCAAACATGGATAAACAGATCAGGCCATGCACAGACAAGGGAATGTGACTGTGCCAAAGAGGCTCCAAGTGCTGGTATATAGTACAAGATGAATAAACATCAAACACATGCCAGGCAAAAAGGAAACACAAAATGTACAAAGTTGACAAAACACTATCTAATTCACCTAATATAAACACCGAGAACAAATACATTCATAGGGCCACAGAGCAAATCGGTGGTTGCCAGTGGCTGGGGGTAGGGCAAGGAGGCCTCCCCCCTTAGTGCTTAATAGGTCCAGGACTTCTTTTGAAGTGCTGAGCATGTTCTGGAAACACACAGAGGAGCTGGCTGCACAGCAGTACCAGCATCATAAGTGCTAGGGTATTTATGGTAGCATAAATGTTACTTTGGCACTGGTAAACGTGTGTCACAGAACTGATTACACCCCCTGGACTGTTTATTTTGGTTGTGAGCCTAGCCTTTAACAGCTGGCTAAGCCATCTCTCCGGCCCCACACACCTACACTCTCTAAAGGGAGTAAGTCAAAAAGGACAGGGCAGTTGAGTCCATTGAAACAAGGGCCCCTGAAATGAACTCATATGGCAGAGAGTGCTAACTGTGAAGGATAAGCAGTGGGGGGAGGGCAGAGGAGGAGGACATCCCACTTAACAGCCTCAGAAGGCTGTGGTCACTGGGGAAACAGACCAGAAAAAACTGAGTTTTCAAGTGCTCATTTCCTTCGTACAAATAACCTAGAATGTTCTAAAACATGTGAATGGCCTCACAAGGAGAGCCACAGTAAGCCATCCCAGATTGCCTCTTCCAGGCCAGTGGCAGGGGCTGGAGGAGAGCTGGGGTCTGTCTGTCAGAGCACCAAGTGCAGGGAAACCTCCCAGGACTGGGATGGTCATTAACAAATCTGCCACCAACTCCCTTGCACAGGAGTGCATGTCTAGGCTGTACTCAACCTCAGTGTGACAACCTTCCTTTGTTCTGGTCTCCTTTAGTATCAGTTTTGCACAGTGTACTTGCAGCAGTAGCATTGCAGAAGCTGCACACAGGCCTTTTAAACTAAGAAATACTAAGTTCTCCTGAAAGACGCTTTTCCTGGTTCACAAGTTAATTTCTTACATATTTAACATGGGGAAATGATTTTTTACAAAGCACTGACCTTCTGTCACAAGGCACAACATGCACAGACCTTGGGGACATCATGCCAAGTGAAAAAGGCTGCCTGATATAATAGCCACCTCGTGTTTCCATGCATGTGAGGTGCTGGGAGCACTCAGACTCCTGAAGACATAAGTAGACGGGTGGTAACCAGGGTGGAGGGGAAGGGGGACTGGAAATGGGAGATTTGATGGTTAATAGGCACAGACTTTCAATCCCTAAAAACATGAATAAGTTCTAGAACTATGTTGCAGGACATCGGGATTGTACTTACTAATACTGAGCTGTGTCCTAAAAATTGTTAAAACACCCAGGCGTTGGTGGTGCACACCTTCAATCCCAGCACTCGGGAGGCAGAGGCAGGCGGATCTCTGTGCGTTCGAGGCCAGCCTGGTCTACAGAGCGAGTGCCAGGACAGCCTCCAAAGCTACACAGAGAAACCGTGTCTCAAAAAACCAAAAAAACAAACAAACAAACAAACAAAAAACGTTAAAATAGCAAAATGTGTGTTTGTTTTTAATGACCATTTATAATAAACTTCTCAATTATTGGTAAATTATTAACTTAAAAGTGTATTGTTTTGATTTAAAATGACATATTAAGTTTATTTTATGTGCTTGGGAATTTTGCCTGCATGTATGTATGTATGTATGTATGTATGCATGCATGCATGTATGTATGTATGTGTGTGCACCATGTGCTTGCCTGGTGCCCATGCAGGTCAGAAGAGGGTATCAGATCCCTTGGAACTGGAGCCACATATGGTTGTGAGCCACCATGTGGGTGCTGAGAACTAAACCCAGTATCTCTGCAAAAGCAACAAATATTCCTAATTACTAAGCTGTCGCTCCAGCTTCTATTTTATTTTTAAATTATGTTTGTGTGACAGGGACACATGTATGTCTGTCCCAGCAGAGGCCAGAAGAGTGTCCTATTTTCTGGAGCTGGAGGTATAGACAGCTGCATGCTGCCTGAAATGGGCTCTGGAATCCAAACTCCAGACCTTGAAAGGGTAGCAAGTGCTTTTAACAGCTGAGACATTTTTCCAGCCCCATGTTACTGCAGTTTGAATGTTTATCGAAATGACAATGTGGAATTACTAAAGATAACAAAATTTGGATGTGGGTTCATACCGGCACACTATAATAAACATGACTATCAAAAGCAAAAAGCAAATCAAATAAAACAGCCCCAGTTTTTTTTTTTTTTTAAAAATCCCTTCCCTGTTTCTACGTAAAACTTGGGCATCGAGCTTTGATAAAAAAAATCCCTTCCCTGTTTCTACGTAAAACTTGGGCATCGAGCTTTGATATTTTGCATTTTAAACTATAATATATTGGCACATTCCAAACACCCACAATGAAATAAAAACTGAGAAATGCTTTAGCCTGATGTTGGGACATTTTAAAGAGAAGTAAGACTTAGGACCTTGGGGTGTTTGGTGGACCTCCTGTTCCACTCTCACTGGGTTCTCCAGCTGCAGACCCACAGTCAGAGTACTGAGTGTCTGCTGTGGACACAGCCATTATTCGTGGTATGATTCTCAACTGCACATTCTGGGTCTGACTCTGCCCCTGCTGTACCAGGGTAGCAGAGAGCTGGAAGCTCTGGGAACGAACACTCTGCCTATGACTCTGCTGGGTGGAGCCCACCTGACATACCACTGATGTCTGGGTCTGTTGAGCCACTCTGGTCCTCTCAGTGTTAAGGCGACCAGTTTGCTCAATGTTAAGGTGACTAGTTTGTTGAGCTGGCAGGGACAACTGCTGATGGTTAGACCCCTGGGAGGAAGCTGGTGGCACTGGCTGTGACTGTGGGGGGACAGAGGCCCTGGCTGGCTGATGCTGTTTTGGAATCAATACATATATTTGCTGTGGCTGCTGCAGCTGTCCCTGGGATGGCTTCTGAGGCTCTGGGCGCAAAATGACAGAGCCAGCGGGAAGCCTTACAGTTAAGGGACTTGTTGTATTATTTATAATGAGTTGCATAGGTGGCTTCACAGGGCGCTGTGCTGGCCCAGGTAGCTGCTCTCTGGTTGGTAGGTTATTTGGAGTAATCCCTTCAGCAGCTGGGGTACCACTAGGTCTGCCTAGGACCTGGGTTGAATTACTCTCCAACCTAGAAGGGTTTTGCAGAGACCTTACTACATGGATCACATTCACACCAGTGGTGCTGCTGGTAGGCTGAATCTTTGGATTGTTTTCTGATGACCTAGCTTTGGATTGGATAACTGGAGGAAGGGTTTTAACCTTGCTCAGTCCCATAATAGTCTGCCGAACCACAGTGGCTGCTTTAGGAGCAGGTGGTATGTCCTTGCCAGCCTGTGGTGTGATGGACCTGACAGCTGAGGAGCCCTGTCCTGAGATGGGGACAAGTGAGACTGGCAGAGGAGGTCTGCTTTCCTTGTCTAAGGCTGAGGCTGACACTAAACTGGTTGTGGGCTTCTTCCCCGGGGATGGTTGAGGAAGACAGACTGAGCTACTAAACCCCTGTGGCATCTTATCTGGACACATGGCTTGGCTCTGGACAGGCTCTTGGCACACATGCACTGACTTCTTAGGCTCAGTGTCTATCCCAGCCACGAACTCATCTACATAATCACTCAGAGACATGGGAGGGAAATGTAGGCTGCTATCACTTCTGCTCTCTGGAGGTGCCTCTATCTCATCAGCAAAAAGTGGACCATCAAGGGTCTTCATGATACTTGGACTCATATTCCAAAATGGAGTGTCATCCTCATAATCAAACATACAACCATATTTTACCTCAGGGGCTGCCGAGACAGTTGGTTCTGACTCACCAAAGGGCAGAGAAGGCATCTCTTCAATGTATTTCTGCATGTCCATCTCTGGAGGAGCAGTTGGTTCACAGAGTGTCTGCTTCCATGTTTCCATTCCATCAATGTTCAGCTCAGATGGGTTACCTGCTCTTACTTTTGCCTGTTTTTTGAAAGGAGTCATTGTTGTGGAGTCAGGGGGATAGGCATACCCAGATGGTACATCTTGTGGATCCAGAGAGGAGCATGCATGCCTCTTGAAGCATTGCCTCATGGGGTCAGTGTTCATTTTCTGCTCATTAAACAGCAGTCTGTTGGCTGTGCAGGCGACAGCAACAGAGGGATCCAGACACAGTGGCTCTGCTGTAGCTAAGATCAGTTGGCTCTCAAGTTCAAGTTTTTCTTCCTGGGTCCACTGACGGTTGTCACTTGTTATGGACTCCACATCACTCACTAGTGACTGCATCGTCGGACGTAAGAGGATGTGACGAGTTTGGTAAGCAGGAGAGGACACAGTAGATGAGACAGCAGACTCAGTAGATGATGCAGTAGGATCTTCACCAGGCTCCCCAGGAGGGTAGCCAGTACTGAACGGCCTGAAGTCTCGAATTTCTGCTATGACACACCCATGGTGAAACACATTCACAGGGGACTTTTCCAGGGCATCGATCAGAAAAGAAGGTAACTGTTCAGCATCCAAATATTCGAGCAGTTTCTCTACTTCATAAGGCAACTGAAAGGGCTCTGAAAATGACCCACTTTTGTCCTTGAGCAGGAGAGAATAGCCCTGATTTTCTGCATACAGGTTGACCACTAAACACGGCAACGCCTCTCTCTTCATAAGCTTCTCTAGCAAGTTGACATTGCTTCGAAGGCCCTCTGCTTCAGGCTCCTTCTTACATTCCTCCACATAAATTTCATACAGTTTTTCCTGAAGAGATTTTTCCCCATTAGTTGCGGGTCTCCCTGGAGGGGGCTGCTGCTGGACAGTCTCAATAATATCATCCGCCCACTCCAAAGCGCTCTGTAAAGTTTGTTCCATCGTAGTAGAAAATTGGGGCCTTAAATAAAAAACGAAATGTATTGGTGGACAGGTGGAAATCGTAGCAGTTATAGTAACTGTCCTACAAAACTCTACAACTCTGTATAAGAGCATACAGTCTGAATTTAATATGGACCCCAAGAAACCTGCCTCCCGCTGGTGAGATGGACGCCGCCAATTCTTGCACTGTATTCTGGGGGCTTACGCACGGGCAAAGCCAGTCTGGGCGGCACGGCGAGGTCCCGACTTAACCGCAAAGACAAGCCGAAGAAACCAAGAGCTGGCCGGGCATTAGTAGCACACGTCTGGGTTGCACGGCGAGGTCCCGATGTAACCGCAAAGACAAGCCGAAGAAAGCAAGAGCTAGCCGGGCAACCAAGAGCTGGCCGGGCATTGGTAGCGCACGTCTGGGCTGCACGGCGAGGCCCCGACGTAACCGCAAAGACAAGCCGAAGAAAGCAAGAGCTAGACGGGCAACCAAGAGCTGGCCGGGCATTGGTAGCGCACGTCTGGGCTGCACGGCGAGGCCCCGACGTAACCGCAAAGACAAGCCGAAAAAAGCAAGAGCTGGCTGGGCAACCAAGAGCTGGCTGGGCATTGGTAGCGCACGTCTGGGCTGCACGGCGAGGCCCCGACGTAACCGCAAAGACAAGCCAAAGAAAGCAAGAGCTGGCTGGGCAACCAAGAGCTGGCCGGGCATTAGTAGTGCATGTCTTTAATCCCAGCACTTGGGAAGCAGAGGTAGGCAGATCTCTGTGAGTTGGAGGCCAGCCTGGTCTCGGACAGAGAAAACCTCTTTCAAAAAAAAAAAAAAAAAAAAAAAAAAAAAAAAAAAAAAAAAGGAACCAAGAGGTACATTAAAAGTTTGCAATTTTTTAAAAGCACCCATACCTTTGGAGCTCACTGCCGGTGTGTCGGCCTGGTGTGCTCTGTGCTGGAAACGGTCGTGCAGGGCTGAGGAACTGCCTTGCTCGCGCACGTCGTCTTCAGAAAGCCGAACGTCGTCTACCACTCGCCTGAGGTTCAGGCTCCTTATAAAGCCTTGCGGGTAGGAGGGTCCCTTTTCAAACTTCCTTTCCAGGGAACACCACACTTCCGCTGGAGAGGCGGGAAGATTTTGGGGGCGGTCTCTTGCTGTCTGACTGACTTCAAAGACTAGCACCGGGAAGCTTGAGCAAGTAGCAGATTTTTCGTTACAGTTTCGGTATCCACCATTTTACATCGCAGTTCAACCTGCAGAGTCATCGTGCACCATTTTGTCTTGGTGTGCCGGTCAAGAACTGATCTATGGCAGGTAGAGGCAGGCACATCTCTGGGAGTTCGAGGCCAGCCTGGCCTATATACCAGTTCGAAGCAGCTGGGGCTACATAGTGAGATTGTGTCTTTTCCCTCTTTCTTTCCCTTCCTTCCTTCCTTCCTTCCTTTCTTTCTTTCTTTCTTTCTTTCTTTCTTTCTTTCTTTCTTTCTTCTTTTTTTTTTTTTTTGAGACAGGGTTTCTCTGTGTAGCTCTGGCTGTCTTGGATCTCGTTCTGTAGTTCAGGCTTACCGCGAACTCAGAGATCACCTGCGTTTACCTCTGGAGTGCAGGGACTAAAGGCATCTGTCACTACCACCACCCAGGGAGACTGTATCTGCTTAAAAAATTGTCTCCAAAGTTTAGGCTGTTCCTGGTACCCATCACCAATTTGGCACACCCAAGAAAGTTCACCTTCGTAGCCTTCCTTACCCTTATACGTGTGGAGACGACACTGTATGCTTGGTGTATCACAATGCTTCTTCCTATTGTCAGGGTACCTCCTGTCCCAGGGTTTTCATATAGTTAGACACATAACATGGCATTCTTTCTTTTTCTTTTTTCTTTTTTTTTTCTTTTTTGTAGACAGGGTTTCTCTGTGTAGTCCTGGCTGTCCTGGTACTCGCTCTGGAGACCAGAATCCCCTCGAACTCACAGACATCCGCCTGCCTCTGCCTCCAAAGTGCTGGGATTAAAGGCATGCTCCACCAAACACCGGCTTTCTTTTCTTTTTATTATTATTTTCTATACAGGTATTTTGCCCGCGAACCTTTGGACCACGCAGGTGCAGTACCCTCAGAGTCCAGAAGAGGGCATCAGATCCCTGTGGGCCTGGAGTTCAAGAGGATTTTGAGTGGTAATGTGGGTGTTGGAAGTGGAACCCCGGTTCTCTGGAGGAGCAAGCAGTGCTCTTAACTGCTGAGCCGTCACTCCATCACTTGTTCTCTTTAAAAACAGGTTTGTTTTATATTTGTTCATTCACACATACAAACACATGCCTTCGGAGGAGTTATAGGTAGTTGTGAGTCACCCGACATGGTGCTAGGACCCAAACTCCGCTCCTCTAGAGTAGCAGCAAATGCTTTTAACTACTGTGCCATCTGTCCAGCCCTGATTTTTTTTTAAAATAAGTTCTTCAAATGTGCTGGTGCTTCTCTCACTGTTTTTTCAACTTATTTCTATTTTGTGTGCATGCATGTCTGTGTGAGGGTGTCAGATACCGTAGAACTGGAGTTTCAGACAGTTTGCAAGCTGCCATGTGATTGTTGGGAATTGAACCTGGGTCCTCTGGAAGAGCAGCTCGTGCTCTTAATGGATAAGCCATCTCTCCAGCCCCAGCTTTTCTTTTTTTCTTCTTTTTTGATGATAAATTTCTTTGACTATTAATAGACTCTTCTTTTTCAGTCCTTTTTTTTGTGACGGTAGCACAGAGGTTTATTGGGGCGTCCCAGTACAGACACTGGGGCTTGCCTATGGTACTTTTGATGTACAAAGCCCGGACATTCTGCAAGTTCTTCTTGAGCGAGGACACCAAGAAATTGACAGCCAGGTGGATTTTGTAAACCAGCTCGTCATCCATCATCTTCACATGGTCGACAGCCACGGCCTTCTTCATTTGGAACTTGACGGTAGACTTCACCTCATCAACTTTGGCCACCACGTTTTCATTGTGTGTCAGCAGGGAAGGGAACTTGCCTGCCTTGTTTAGGCTTGGGCCCAGAATACGTGGGATCTGCTTGATCAGGGACTCAGAGGCCAAAAAGGTATCATACTTCTTGGCCAGCTTTTTGATCAGTTTCTTGTTCTTATTAAGCTTCTTCATCACCTTGATGTCCATGTGGGGGATATCCACGGGCTTGGCTTCATCGCAGTGCTGCTGGTCCCCCAGGACGCACACCGAGAACTTAGGGCGAGGAGTGGACTTGAGCCTGACAGTGCCCGAGAAACGTTTGTTCTTCTGGGGGTCATAGTTCTTCAGGCTGATCTGCAACTCCACCGTTTCCAGAAACTTACTGCGCTTGCGCTGGTTCCCGTTTAGGACTTCCCGCACCACTTCACACAGGGTGTTGCGGGACACTTTGCTGCTCATGGCTGTTGAGACTGCGGGAACCAGAAAAGAGCTTTCTAGTCCTTTTGTTGCCTTGAATTTGCCAGTCTTTTTGACAGCTACTTAGAAGATTCTCTAATGTTTAGATTTACATAGAGCAATGACACTAATGTTCACAGTGATTACCTATAATGACAAGAATCCAAGAGAAGTTTGTGAAGCCCCAGAAGTAGACAGATTTACACTAAATGCTTTTTTGTTTGTTTGTTTTGTTTTTGAGACAGGATCTCCCTGTGTAGCTTTGGATGGCCTGGAACTCATCATGTAGGTCAGGCTGACCTCACAGAGATCTGCTTATCTCTGTCTACTGAGTGCTATACTACCAGACTCAGATCAAGGCTTTAAAAAAATCAGTAGTAGTTGTGATTGTTACACATTATCACAGACACATTATATTTGGTTGGATTAAAAGTTCTTTGCCTGGGCACACTAGAGCTGACCATGCTGTGTGGGGTGGGGGTGGGGGGTTGTACAGTTGAGTCAGTCCTCAGGGTGCAAGAGCAGGACAGCTGACCCTGACCCCTCTCGTATTCCTCCTACAGCAATCAGGCAAGAGGGCCCTGCACCTTGCTTGGGTGACCCAGATCTGAGGACTGGAGAGGAGGAGAACTGGCCAGGCTCCTTGCTGCAGGCTGTGTTGGGTGAGCTAGCCGAGGCAGTGCTGGAGAGCATGCCCAGGTACTGATGATGAGGGACAGCTGGAGGGCTGGATAGGTTTTTTTTTTTTTAAATTTTGCTTTTCTATAACTTTTTGCCTTGATATCTCCTAGGTGATATCTTTATATCTTCATTTTGGGGGAGGAGGAAGGGAAGAACAGAGAGTCACTTTATAGTCTTCTTTGCTATTCATGGACATACTGGGAATGCTGCACCATGGCTGTTATCCCAGGGTACATCTGCTTCATCACAGGAGGGTTGTCTGCACACCTAGTTATAGGATGGCATTCTAGTTTTATTGCTGTACCTGTGCTAAAATACCCCAATGAACATTAACTTAGGGGAGAAAGGAGTTTATTTGGTTTACAATTCCAGGTTACAGTCTATCATAGCAGAGAAGTCACAGTGGCAGGAACTCAAAGCAGCTAGTCATGACATGTCACAGTGAAGAGCAGAGAGAAAAGAATGCCTGCAGGATGGCTTGCTTTTTTTTTCTCCTCTCTTATATAGTTCAGGACCCCTGGCCTAGGGAATGGTGTTGCCCACTCTAGGCTGGGTCTTCCTACATTAATTGACAATCAAGACAATTTCTCACATACATACCCACAGGCCAATCTGATCTAGATAATTGCCCAATTAAGACTCTTTTTCCTTAGGGTTGGAGAGATGGCTCAGCCTTTAACAGTCTCTATGTTCCTGTAGATGACCTAAGTTCATTTCCCAGAATTTACTTCTAGTGGCCCATAAATGCCTGTAATTCAAGGTCTAAAAGATGTGATACCCTATTCTGGCTTCTGCAGGCACCTGCACTCATATGTACATACTCATATATAGACATGTACACATACACATTATTAAAAATAAAATAAATCTTGAGAGGGAAAATGACTCCAGGAGATGCTAGGCTGTATCAAGTTGAGAGTTAAAAAAATGATCACAAGTATTCAG